TCTTATCAAGGGGCAGGAGTAAATAATGAAAATGTTTCAAAATGCGATAGGATAACTTTTTCTGTAAAAATTCTCTTGAAGTCGTTTCATCATTGCTAATATATGCCAACCACCACTGTAAAATTTTAAAAATGGTGAGAGCATAGATCATAGCTACGAGTAGAGTTCATACAAGCCGTTTTGCATATTGCACAATTGTCAATATACTGATTTCCCTGTTCCCCACCCACGATCCACCGTACCGTAAGACACTTTCAATTAATATATATATATATATATATATATATATATATATATATATATATATATATATATATATATATATATATATATATATATATATATATATATATATATATATATTATATGCTCATTTTCTTTTCTCCGTTAACTTGACATTGTCAGAATCGTTCGATATCCAGCGATATTGAACACCTTCATATTGCACCCCCACGTGACTGATGCACGTGAATAAAGAACTACTTTCTATAGTAAACAAACAATGGACGCATACGCCAGTACTTTAGTTTATTGTGTTTGTCGTTGGATGAAGTAAACCAATTGTTTGAACCTTTTGAAAGTAAGAGATGCCAAAGTTGAGAATGTGGATGAATTCATAGAATCACAGAAGAAATTTATAACGAAGCTGGCGACTGAACGTAATATCAGAAATGTTTAGCGATGGAAGTATGAAATATAAACAAAGAAAAAAGGAGTAATTATTTTTTTAGACAATGCAAAGAATGAATGAAAATAAAATTACATAACATAAAACAAAAACTATGGAAAAATCTGTGATGAATTGAATAATCTGCACATACCAGACCGTTTTCACAATGAAATGCATTAATCAACATTGCCAAATATAAAAAACTGGTTTTGAATGGCAGGTTTATTGGATTATTGAATTAAATATAACATATATTCACGATGCAAATATTAAAAATTGCAGGAATTATCCGAGACCAATGGTGGTTAAACAACTTGGAACTCTAATGAAACGAGCAGCCGAAAGGGCACAAATCCAGGGGAGAATTACCAATCATTTTGTAAGGAAGACTACTGCGACAAACCTGTCAAAAGCTGGGGTCCCTCCAACAAAGATAATGCAAGTAACTGGGCATAAAAATATGTCATCTATAACTGGTAATAGTAATGAGAATAAATCTACTTGTCTTTTTGCCTCTTTAATCTCCTCAAAATGTACTTTGTACTTTGTGGACTCTTTCTACTAATAAGAATTACGTATTTCCAAATACTGTTACACATCTGTGTACTATAATATGTAGGACTATAGAATCCAGACTACATTGTTGAAATCGAAATCACATTCCATAGTAGACTGTACGGAACTCTGCAAGAAATGAATCTGTTGTTCACAAAAAATAAACGATATTGAAACCAGCATCTTCTTAAGAATTTATGTTTAAAAACTTTCATATTTTTCCGGCTTACGATTCCAAACTATCCATGGCAGAACAGAAATAGTTATGCAGATTGTTGTCATCGCCAGTCCCTGAAGTCACACGTACATCGTGCAGAAAACACACAGAAGGAGATAATCAGAATTTGGCTGTATTGACAGAAAAACAAAATTTCTCAATTTCTGACCAGCTGGGAACTTTGTTAAATGGCGCAGTCATTCATAATATGACCTTAAATTTCAATTTCAGATAGACCAAAATAGGATTTCTTTTTTAAATAAGTGAGCGCGCGGTACGCTTTGATGTCAAAAGGTCGATGGGCGGAGTTATATGCGCATAAATACTATTATTGTGTATTGAAGGAGAATCTACGATTGTCACCTTATTTACTTTAATAATAAAATAATAAATTTTATTGTTAAATATATTTGGTTTTGAATTTTATTATTAAGTCTTTGGTAATGAAACAAAATTGAGCATATAATAAAAAGGTTACTGCATTTGAATGGGAAAATATGAACTCGTTTTTTCAGATGGATATACTGCATTCCCAAGGTCGTGCAGTACAGCCATCCGAAAAACTCGTTCATATTTTCCCATACAAATGCAGTAACCTATAAATATATGTATGTATGTATGTATGTATGTATGTATGTATGTATGTATGTATGTATGTATGTATGTATGTATGTATGTATGTATGTATGTATGTATGTATGTATGTATGTATGTATGTATGTATGTATGTATGTATGTATGTATGTATGTATGTATGTATCACATAGTCGATATTGTTTTATTACAGTGAGTGCAGGTTCATATTTTTGATATTATACGTGTGAAATATCACTTTATGTGATTTTGATTGGTCCAGATGAGATGAAATTATTGTGCATTAATGTCTTTAATGATTGGCTGCAACCGTGGGAACTCGTTTTTAACCCCGCCTACTGGAATGTTTTGATCTAAATCAACATTTTTTGGCGGCCATTTTTTAACTCGACTCGCAAATGGAAATTGAGGAAATATCATATCGGCTGTCTCAATATGGATATGTTACTCTCACAGGGGTTCATTATGTCATGTTTAACAATATCATCATAAGAAAAATGGCAAAAAAATACTAGACACGAGCGACAATAACGAATAAAACTAAGGGATAGCGGGGTGGGGTGGGGTGCGTATATCAGTAGCATAGATATAGAATCCACTATATATATATCGGTCAATTAATATTATCTATCCTGTATGATAATAAGATACACACACACACACACACACACACACACACACACACACACACCTTGTAAGTACTTCCTGATATATGATCTGGATCATGCACACATCAGAAAACTGACGTTACAGTGTCGATGGTAGAAGCATCCCTGGGTAGCATATGCACTCGTATATCGACCTAGTAATGAATTATCTGTAAAGTCATTCTGGGTTCATAAGAAGGAAATCATTATAGAGAATATCAAAGGGTTCCTTTTAGCCGCTAATGCTCATTCTAATCTTCGTAGAGCACGACTTTAAATAGTCTGTTCTGTACTATAACGCTATTTAGTCGTATTTGTACAAAACTATTATTATTATCAAACAATCGTTTCTATTTGTTTCTTTACTATTTTCTGTCTTTTTCTTTTTTCCAATTAAATATTCGTATCTCAGATTCCAATTGGGGTATTTCCACTTCGCTTCGCTCAGTTGGCATAACGGTCAAAGCATCCCCCTCCAGTGCGAGAGGTCGCGGGTTTTAACCCCGGCCAAGTCATACCAACGAATTTAAAAGATGGTACTAACAGCTGCCTCGCTTGGTACTGAGCATTAAAAGGTTAGTTTTAGGACTGTTCGGCCTGGTGTCAGGAATATGTGACTGGTTCGGACATCATGCCACATGTTCGAGGCATCAAAATTCCAGTTCTAGACATCTCTATAAAATTTTACACTGCATATCGTAGCGATATGACTAAAAAAATTGTTAAAAATACGTTGAAAATCTAAACTACATTCATCATAATGACCACTTCGCTTATGGTTGGGCTTCGTTTAGTAAATAATAATATTAGTATATTATTTACTATAATTTTAATTAAAATTGAATTAATGTTAGTATTATCAATATCATAAAAAATGTATCCAATAATTCTATAAAACTGACAGAGTACATCAAATTAATGATGTAATATATTATGATTATTTATTTCTAATTTCTAAATATTTTCGCACAACATAATGTTTTACTATTTATTTATTATATAGTGTATGTTCTGATCATCTGTTGAACATACATTATGAAATGTTGTCTTTTATATATATATACATACATACATACATATACATACATATATATATATATATATATATATATATATATACATACATATATATATATACATATATATATATATATATATATAAATATATATATTTATATATATAATATTTATGATTTCGGTAATTGTATTTGGTACCTATGAATACAAAAATACAAATATGAATAAAACTGTTATCTCTATTTATCCATAAAAAGTTTATATATATATATATATATATATATATATATATATATATATATATATATATATATATATATATATATATATATATTTAGAGAGAGAGAGAGAGAGAGAGAGAGAGAGAGAGAGAACTTAACATGCATATTTCTGATTGCCCCTATTATTCCAAAACTTGTTAGTAGTACATGACATTTTCGCACATCTTAAATTGTTGATATTTAAATCACCTTCTTTGTTCCTTCCTAAATATTCTTTAGGTAAGTGTTGAAGTTTGCCAAGCTTTTATGATCATTTATTAACGTTTCTATCTTAGCCATCCAATCGGTGTAGGAATTCATCGATTTTGTTAAATAATGTAAATTACTAACATATAAGTGTTATCAAATCATGTTTTTATCTCATTATAATTATAGCCATAGTGTCCAGATTTCTGTATCATTTGTAACGTGTTGTTCCAATTGTTGATAACTGTATAAGAAAACATTTTGCTAAAGGTGATCCTTAATGCGTTTACCGTAGCTTTGATTAAATGGGGTGAAACGCAGGGTGATTTTCTCTCCGGTTGTCTATCAATAAGATTTAATTTTTCTCATGATCAGTATATTAAACAGGTACTTTTTCCCATTCAAAACCACAGAATTCCTTACCTAGATGCTTAAAGGAATTCAGTTCATTTATATAGTTAGTACAGTTATCCGCGTGCTGGATCATTTTCAGTTGGTGCTTTAAATCGGTACTCTTGATCCCCCGCTCTTGCCAATATTCGTTGTTTTGGTGGGAGTGTGTGAGCTCGCGCGAGCGCGCGCGTGTGTGTGTATGAGCGTGTGAGTGATTTTATATTTTCAACGCAGCTTTAACAATATTTTAATCATATAGCTACGATGTCTAGAGTGACAATTTATAGTGATGTCTATCCCTGGAGCATCGTGCCTCAGATATATTACATGATGTCCCTCCCAGCCACGCTATCCAGAAACCAGGCAGACAAGTACTAACACTGACCTCTTAATGCTGAGCGCCTAGTGAGGCAGGTGTTTGAACCATTTTTAAAAAACTTTGGTATGATTCGGCCCGGGTTCGTACCAGCGACTTCCCGTATCCGAGGCGGACGCTCTAACCACTAGGCCATCAGAACGGTTAACATTTCCAAGCATACGACTTTTATTGCTATTACGTATAATGGCATCGACAGGGCGAGTCATTGTCTTACTTTTCTTTCTATTATAAATCCTTTAGAGTTTAACCCGTTGACCTGTACTTTGGAGTAAATGTTTATGTACGCGGTTTTTATCAACCGTCGGAGAATCTAAATTTCTCTAAAACTTTGACCATATAGTTAAGTTCAAACCTATTTTAGGTTTTTTCTTGATTAAATGTTCTTACTTCTTCCTTTAGGGTCATGTAGTCTGCAAATGTCTCAGATGGAAGACATGCGTTAGATGTAAATGTTAACAGGAAACACCGTTTCCGGACAAACCACCCATAGGTTATATTGCCAAGAACACATTTAAACATGGGATGTGAATGGACAGAATTAGCCAGTCTTCACCATAGCTGGTAATGTACTTCTAATAACGTGAATGTCATATTTCTACGTGATCAATTTTCTCATGGGCGAAAAGTACACGCACGTATGCATCATTAGTACTTCAAGCCGTAAATATCCGTTTTGAGCTTCGTGTAATGGTCGAAACGGAAGATACGCCAGACTTGAAGACCAATGCAAATGTACAGACCCATTACCAACAATTACACCAGCAGAAGCCATCTGTTCATATCAGACGTATCAAATCTCACAAAAGAAGCTTGCACCATCCGTATCCGATGCTAAACTTTCATTGGGCGCAATTCAATAAAATCTTGCCGGTAAAATCGTAACTGAGCACTTAAAAGAGATGTTACTGTAACGCCGTTACCAAGATCATAAAGCAGAACGTGGAGATTGATTCCCAACGATGAATATACTAATACAAATGCCAACTTTTGAGTACAAGTTAGTCATGCATATACTATTATATTAGGTTTGTTGGTTGGTTGGTTGAAATTTTACTGGTCTATTTACAAAATAAAGTGTACGTATCCACTGACGATTTCGAATGACGCATTTGCAAGTTTTTGATGCTAATAAGGAATTGTATAGACTGGAGGCGATTGAGGCGATAACGCCTGGTTACCTGAGATGAGATTTAGTAGATTTCACCGCTTCTTATACAAGGTGTGGTGCTTAATTTGATCCATGACTAAACGTGTTGTTGTTTTTTTTATTTGTTGTTGTTGTTTTTTGTTTGTTTGTTTTAATAGATATATGACTGCTGTTTATTGCTCGCTTCATCACGTGCTTGTTGAATTCCCCGATGTTGTTTATTTGTCAACGAACCATTTACCGTCAAGTATATATATATATATATATATATATATATATATATATATATATATATATATATATATATATATATATATATATATATATATATATAGTTTCGATCTCTAACCTACACGCGATCGTTAGTAATGTTTAGCACAGGACAGAGCTTTTCAATAAAGTAAACATGTCATGCAATTTAAATTTCATGAATGAAGTAAACATTTATTCTAAATTATAGCGTTATGTGCTGTCATTTATTCAAAATACCTTTATTTATCTAATTATTCACTGAACAACGCCATTTACCTTTCCCATTGATTGATAACCTTTATACATTCCTTACACTCGCGTCATTTTGCTATTAATTGTTGGTCTTATTATCGCTAGTTGATAATTGACAAACAAATAAAACACAAAACACGTTGTGTTTACAAAACTCTGCATGGCTGTGTCTACATGAATTAAACTTAATTGTTATGGATACTAAGAAATATATGTATTTGAATACAAATATTTCTCAGTATCCGCAACAAGTTGATATAGGCTGATTCAGACACAATACATCTAAATATACAGGAGACCATGGCGTTTCAAATGTAATCCAACCATATGCAGTCAAGATAAAATGATCACATCATTTAGTAGAGAAATTAGAGAAAAGTAAGAGACGGAACCGTGATTTATCGCACAGTAGCTGACGTCTTGGCTCAAATCCAAGCCAGCAATTCTGAAGATCACATGAGTGAACCAATATCCAGGCCCAGAGAGTCTACCCCAAACTAAAGTCCACCACCACTAGTAAACCCTGAAAAGTACTATCACATTCGAGGGACTGAAAAGCTCTCCTATAGAAAATTTAGAAAAACGACCTACACTTTGCTCGGTGAAGTTTAAAGATTTCAAGTCCGACGTACAGCTAGAGAAAGCAGAAGTATCCTTGACTAATGTTTGGGATTCGTTCATAACCACACTGAAACAGCAACATGAATCCAAACAAAGCGACAGCTTGAGACTTTACATTCATCACGGCAGTATGAAATCCCTCGTTTGGAATGAGTTTAGCAGCCCGGCAGATTTGACACATTCCACAGTCATCGACAAGATTCAACGCGTGCTTCAATGGAACGACAAGTCTCACATCACCGATGGAAAAAGCGACAGTTTGTGACCCACGTGCCTCTTCCCCGAGGAACTACACGCAAATAGGAATTATTGGCGAGACGTTCGCACCATCAATTGCAGCATCGTTAAATTTAAAAACACTCAAGAACAGATGTGTTTATCCTGACCCATCGCAGTGGGACGAACGTATGCTGACAAAAACGACAATACACTTGTTAAGACACTCCTGTCACTTCATGCTACCACTTGGACAGCAGAATTCTGGAATAACGAACAGCTAATTTTACTTGACGTTACCCAGTGACAGTTACATGGAGGAGCTTCCCCAATATATTTAGTGGTATTTCATTGCCAAATTATCTCAGACCATCCAAATGGATCACGAAGCCGGTTCGGAAGTGGTTTTGTTGGAAATGATTCACCCTACACAAATACAAAACATCACTGTAAAGAAAAAACACTTTTGATGTGGATTTACTGAACAAACAATTACAACAAACAATGAATGAAATCGGGTTTTCATGTATCATAAATCCAGAAAACAATCCATCATTCACCAAAAACAATTAAACATTCCGAAAGGTTAGCGTTTGGCCGATCAACATTTGCTGGACACAATTGTTTTCAGGTCCGATGACACGTTTGACAGAGCCTTAGATAAAGCCAAAAAAGTGTCACTGTCGATTACCATAAGTGGTTCAGCGCATTCTGATGAGAACTAAGGATATCCGAAACGTTGTCAATTAGTTTTAATAGTGACTTGTTTGAACGTTTATTTGGAGCCACAAACATGGGTGCGAATTTCAAGCCAAAGATCAACGGCAATACAGAATTATACAGGCATGTTTAGAGTCCCTATATAACTGAACAAGGGACTGAATTTGATGTTTGTGTACTCTGATATGGTGGAGAACAACGTTATTGGACACGCCTCTATACCGTTACTGCATATCATTCCTTTCAAAGTAGATTCTGCAATGAAAGCGTACCAGGAAGGTGGAAACAACTATCACTTTCACCTCGAATTTGACCTCATTTCTAACCCGTCGCTAAGTCGTATTTAGATACTGTCAGCATTGCTGTGAAAGGAGATATGGGACAAATTATTCCATTCAACAAAGGGAAAGTCACAATGAAATTCCATTTCCAACAATTCTCTAACGACTCGTATTTCGTGTATCCTGTGTACCGACATGAATTAGCAGATATGTTGAAATCGGTGTTTCGTTCGGTGACCACCGTGTTGAAACCGACAGTGAGGTGAAACGAGGACTGCACACCTTGAACGATAACGATTTGACGCAATTGTAAACATTTCTCCAAAATGTCGTCGTCGACAAACAAAACCCCACTGAAGCTTTCATGAGAGCAAATATATCTTGATTCAAACGGACAAAGACAATTTAGGCCGACGACAAACTCCTATAAATGCCATGGATGCTGATGAGTCAGGTATTTCCTCACGCCACAACTAGGACAAGGCAGAAAGAGACAACGACTAAAACACCTCTCCAGATGACGTCATAACCCCATGCTTGAATGACTAAGAAACGAAGAACCGTCCCAATCTTAAACGTCTTTGATTATTAAAGAATTAACAGAAAGAAAGAAAGAAAAAAATGATGTTCCGAGAGTTATGCGCCTGTTCCAAATCGGAACTAAATCTGTTTGCCATGCCACCCACCATGATGAGAATACAAGAATCCTAATGGGTTGAATTTCATCTTGTTCCTCTGCTGTCAAAGACTCACGATCAGCCTCCATAGAATTTAAAATCAAAAGACAGCCAGAAAATTACATTGATCTGAATAGCATTTACATGTACTCGATAGTATAAGATTTAGTCACGGACGATATGGATCTAGAAGACGAAGACAAATTAGTCCCCGTCAACAGTTTCGTGCATTTCTTGTTCAGCTCAGAGGACTTGAATGAATAACAAACTGATCAGCAGTATCTTGGATGCTTACCCTTATCAAGCGTACCTGGAAAATCTCTTGCTGTAAGGAAGAGTGGCCATGAACACTCATATGTATGCATGCGTGGTATGGAAACCTGCCACCCTTGGCAAGTTCAAAGCATAGATGACAAAAATGTGGGGAACAGAGACTGTAAACGGAGCAATCGGAAACATACACATTTGGTAGGTGGTGGGTAAATTTTAACAGCATAGTGCGGTCTGGGCAAGTATGCAAGTTGAAATATGTGTGGCATACAAGCATAAAATTTAGACTTAAATTATCCATAAAAAATTAGCCTGTTAGTAATCAAGACACAATTAATAGTTTTGGTTCAGTAACCACAAATGCAGTCCCAGTCTAACATTATAGTATTTTTTCCTGTCTCCTTTTGGTGGTGATACGAGCCTCAGTTAGAATTAGATATTCTTGGTATGGATTTTAAGGCATTTGTTTTTTTCTAACTATGAACTTATGATATAGTTTTTTGTGTGTGTCTTAGCAACAGTGAACAGTGAGTAAATAAAGTCTTTGTGATGATCCAGAAGTGAAACACGTGTTCCATTGAAACAAATGTTTAGAACATATAGTAAAACTAATTGTGTTATTGGTCCAACCGGTGTTCTAACTTGCATACTTGCAAAGAGAGGTAGAAAGCCAACCTACTTCGTTTCTCCAAATCATCTAAAG